ATCGGAAAGATCCTTCCTGACTGCGGCTCTCCTCCGTGCGGCAGGCGGCTGCTCGGAGCGGCCCCGCTCAGACCTTGGGCGGGCCCAGGCTGCTCGCGGCGCCGAGCGCGCGCTCGGCGCGGCTCAAGCGGGCATCGAGCTCCTCAGCGGAGGCCATGTTGGTGGCAGTTTTTTCGTGTCGAGCGACCCTGAACCTTGGGAAGATTGGCCACAAAGACGTTCGAGTTAGGAAAGCTGCACCAGAGTAATCACTAGTCTCATGGCCCCCTTCATCGCTAGAAGCTCCGTGTAAAAGGGCGTGCACCCGTTCTGGCCGCACTTGGGGGGCATCGTTATGTGGCGATGTGGCCGGACCCCTCCAGGGCCCTACACGGAGGCCCCCACGCGCAACGGCACGAACGCGGGGCGGGGATCTGTCCATATCCACCGCCCGTGGAACCGGCGTCTGGGGACCCCAGCGGGCGGTGGATATGGACACGTTTGGGCCCCAGGGGGCCCGAATGTATCCGTATCCGCCGCCTGCTGGGGTCCCCGAAGGTCGCGCATCCACAACCACAGCTGGAAGAGTCCTGCCATGGATCCCTGGAGGGCAGCGGGTACGACTGCTTTCCCGCCCGCGCGGGCGGGCATATCTCAGTCATACCTCATTTACCACCATCCGGGTGATAAGCACATTGGGGACATGGGATGGCGCAGCTTCCGGTTTGCGACTGGCGTCCGATCGAATTCACAATATGTATACCTATCTCCATGTTTCTCTCTCCCTCTCTCGGCCTCGCGATCTACCGATCTCACTACCTTCACGCCAACGTCACTATCTATGGACCTCACAATCGACCTGTCGACCGCTAACTATTGGTCTCACTATCTACCTACAAATATCACTCCCCGTCCATATTCTTGAACGACCTCACACTCAATCGTTCTGCATGTCGATGTACATGTCAAAACGCAGTTCGATTACCATTATAATCGCGCTCCCACTTACCAGTCGGTCGCAACGCGGTCAGCCTCTCCACGCGTTTATGTATACATTAGCATGCGCACTTCAATATGCATATCGGAATTGTTTGCCGCTGTGCATTTCGACCGCAGTTCGATGTGATGATCGATGTGAACCCCGATGTGCATGTCAATTGCAATTCAAGTCGCAAGTCGATGTGACCTCCGATTTCCACTGGAGCCGCATTTTAATTTCAATTGCCCGCTGAAGCGCTGACGCGACAACTACGGGGCAATTTGCGGGGCACCCCATGGGACAACCCGCGGGGCAACCCACGGGCGACTGCCACGAACATCGGATTGCACTATCTCCCGGTTTTCTCGTTGGCGACTCCGTTCCATCATTGTTTCGGTCTTCTCGTTGGCCCAATCGCAAGTATACTTTCTCGCCCCGTCTTCGAGACCCATGCGTGAGCGTGGCCGCCACATCCATTGAAGGAGATTTCTTGAGCTGTTCGAAATAGCGCGTTCGTAGTGTTCCTCGCTGGGTTATGATACCTGGTTATACCTGTTCTTCCCCAAGTGTAGAAGTAACGCATCAATTATGCGCCGGCCTCGCCCTTCGACCCAACTGTCTTCCACGAAAGAAGACGACGGCACGAACATGCAGATTCGTGGTCAGGTCTCACTGAAACGGATAGGGCGATGATTGCCACAATTTCTCCTCCACAAAGAAAACGCTGTTCTTCCCCGTGGCAGATCTCATCCCGTCTGTTTATATCAGCCTAGATCTGTCTAGTCGTCTCGCCCGTCAATTTCGGATTATGTGAAAGCTTCTTCCTCTCTGTGATCACACCAGACGCAATCGCAAAGTCCAGAGAAGAGATTCTGCCTCTGCCCCCCAGGGCGTTCATGGGAGGGTTGGCATCCAGCGCCTGCTGGAACCATTTCAACGCTTCATCGATCTCACACGTCGCAACGGCCACGAGTCGCCTCGCCCCCCTGGGCCAGTCGGCCAACGAGGCGGCGTCGGGGACGTCTGGAAGGTTACTTTCGGTTCCTTCGCCACTGCCCGAACCACTCAGCCCATCGCCAACGAGAGGGGCCAGTCCGATTTCATTGTCGCCAGGAGGGCCGCCACCGCCGCGCAGCCCCCCCTCCGCCCAGGGTCGCACATCCGCCGGGAGGGGCGGGCCCCTCCCAAGGCCGCCCGAGCCAGCACCTGAGCCACCTTCATCAGGCCCGCCACTTCCAGGAGGGCCACCAGGATCACCCGGCTCCAGATTCGCCCGGCGCCGCGCCCATGCTGAGCTGAGAGGGCCGACCAATGGCTCGAACAAGTCAGAATCAGGAAGATCGCACCCCCCTCGCCCGCCACCGCCACCCAACCCGGGCCCTTCCCCCCTGGCCCGCCGCCCCCCCCCCATGCATCGCGAGGGTTTACCGGGCCCCGCGGGAACCTCATCTTTCCCTTCAGACGGCTCGCATACGTCTGTTTCTGACTCTTCGAATAGAACAGCTGCAGGGGGCGCCAAAATCAACGCTCTGGACTCAGAGGCTTCGGCCCCCAAGGCAAGGGCCCCCCCTTCTTCATCCAGGGAATGACATTCGGATCCCATCGCCTCTAGCTTCTCTCCAGACAGCCACAAAGCATGCCCCCTTCTTCCCACGCGCCGCGATTCCCCCTGCCACCCACCCACCCCTGCCTGGCCGCAAGGGCCTCGGCCCTGCGAGCCGCAACATCGAAAGTATTCGACCGCTTCGCGAACTCGCCCCTCATCGCGCGGCGGGCGCCTCATCTCGAGGGCCTGCACTCGCGATTCCACATCAGACTCGCTCGTCTCTCCCTTCAGCTGCCACGCGCGCGCCTCATGCTCGGACCCGCGACGCCGATCGCCCTCGCTGTCTTGCCCACGACGCTCCTCTTCCGCTTCCTCGGCGCGACAAGCCGTTGAGAGCTCTTCCGTAATCTTCTTATCGGCACGGAGCTGACACCCTGCAGCCCCGAGGTTAAAAACTGCCTTCGCAGCGCAGCCTGTCACGCAGACGACAGTCTGCGCGTCGGGCCCGAAGGCGCAGGCAGCAGAGAAGGGCACCGCAGACGGCCGTCGCCGTTGCCCCTCCGCCCCGAGAGAAAGCGGCTCTTGCGCCAGCACGCAGACCCACGGTCGACGTCGCCGTAGCCCGGCGGGCGTGCGTCGCATTGTCTGCCAAAGATAACTGATTCCGCAATTTTACAACATGCGCCTTGACTTCTTTATCCTCCTCCTCCTTCACTGTCCAGTCCTACGGCGATCATTCCACCCCATCTGGGTCTGCGCTATTGGCTCGGCCTCCAGCCTCGCGGCCATTGGCTTCGCCCCACGACTATTGGCAGGGATCGCCTCTGCGGCTCTGGCTCGGGACGCCACGAAGAGTCGCGCGCGGAGGCATCCCGCTCTAGCACGCGCCATAGCTGTTCTATCGTACGTTTCATCTCACAACCCTCTGTCGGCCTTAGCCCAGGCACTCTCGGCATGCGCCTGGGTCCTGTTCCAGGCAAAATCTTGCCCAACTCTCAATCGAGCCTCCTTGGCCGCCTCGGCGCGAGAGGCTTCCAACCCACGCACTCGGAGCAGACCCCTGCACTGGGCGACCCGCCACTCCGAGCTTCGCCGCGCCACGTAGTTGCGCTTGATTGGCGAACACAAAATCACCGCGCGGGAAGCAAACGTTGCATCCTGGACACGCGCGCGAGCACCCCGGGCACTCGAGCTCGGCGCAGCTTCCCCCCTGGCACAAGCATCGAGATTCCGCCGCGCCATCGCATCGGGACGCGGGCTGCCAGCAGGCGCCCTGGACAGAGACCACGCCGGCATTCGAGATGCTCGATCTCAAGGACCCAAAGCCTTGACCTGATACGCCGCGCATCATCTCGGTCTCTACTGGTTCGAGCGATATTTTTTTTTGTTCCCGAGCTCTTCAGCGAGGTGCTCGACGAATCCCTCGTCTGCCACAGCTCTCTGACAGCGGCAGTCGAAGCGCCCCCCCCGGCTCTCTGTCGCATCCTGTCTTGGCGAATCTTCCCCCACGGGTGCGAGGGATCGGCGGCTGGTCGTCATCGGACGCCGGCGATAGTGACGTCACCAGCCGGCACCTCTTCGCCGCGCTCGCGAGCTCTCCAGTCTACCAACCTCCCCCTGTCCTCTTCGAGCGCCCAGGGCCCCCCTCGAATCACCGCCCCTTGCACCGTCAACGACGGAGGGCCGACCGCGCCCAACGAATTCGGGAAGCACCCGGGGAGGGACTTCTGAAATAGTCTCTCGACGACTCCTGGCTATTCCCATGGACCCTCCCGCACCTGACGGGGCCTCAACGCACCGGGAACTAGAACCATCGCCCTCAGGCAGATCATCGCGGCATAGGCCAAAAGCCCGCCGATCGATTTCTATCTTCCGCGCACGGTCGGGGGTCATAGTCGTCGCCGATGGCGACTTGGATTTTGCTATATGTCCGCTCTTCGTATAGAACTCCGCATATAACTCCCTCGACGCATAGATTGGGATGGCCAAGATCCGCCAAGATTCCCTCAGGGGGTCGGCCCCGCGCGCGAAGACATATGCCCTTGGGTTCGTCCGCGCGTCATCTGGGCGCACGATCGCATGGACCTCCTGTTGCTCAGGGAAAGTACTGGTCTTAGTCATACTATTACTTGGCTATCCTGGCATCCATCGGGAGACCGACGATCCCTGTCACCCGTGATCACGTCATCGCAGGGACCTCCCTCACTGCTAGGGTTCAGGTCTGAGCCACTGCTGTCTCGTAGAACACTGACAGAACTTGCCAACACTCGCTTCTCGGAAGATCATGCTTGCGAGGTCGCTCAAACTAGCGTCTGGCATTGCGCCCCCACTGCCAGGCGCAGTGTCGCCGCGGTGGAAGCTGTCACCTGGCTCAACGTAGGAGGCATCATCCTGATCCCTTCCAGCAATTTCCCAGCCTTCGGCGGAGAATATGTTTTTGATCCGGTGTTCTACACTGTCTTCAGAATTGCACGACCACTGTAATGCAGATGTTCCATATTATCCTGCCTCCACGGGGTTTCTTCGAGAGGACTTCGTGCATGGCATGCCCCTTCGTGCTGAGCGATGACATTGCGGCGGCGCGAGCAGAGCAAGCGCCTCCTTTTCCCCAACGGTCGGGGCGTCACACGCGCTTCGACGTCAGTCACGCCTACCACCTCCTCTGAAAGGGTAAAAAGTCTTGAGCCAAACGCCCGCAGCGGCACGCGGGAGAAAACATGACGCAGGCAAAAGCGAACGTTTATCAACTGAATGGCCCCGGTGTTTATACAGTTCTTGCTGCTATCCTTTAACTCCAGGAGCTGCTGGTGGCCTCGAAAAGCCTCCAAGAAACCCTGGACATCTGAAGGGAACGGCTGCGGTGCTTATGCCTCTCTTCCTGCTCTCCATCGACTCTAGGGGTTACTGCAGGCCTCCAGAAGCCTCCTGGGAAACCGCAGATGCCCGCAGGGAATGGCCGCGGTGCTTATGCAGATGTTGCTGTTCTCATTCGGCTCCAGGAGCTACGGCAGGCCTCCAGAAGCCTCCAGGAAAACCCCAGATGCCCGCAGGGCATGGCCGCGGTGCTTATGCAGCTGTTGTTGTTCGCTCCTTCAGCTCCAGGAGCTGCTGGAGGCCTCCAGGGCCTCCTGGGAAGCCCGGATCCTCGCAGGGTGTTTATGCAGTGTTTCGTTGTTTTCCTTCGACTCCAGGAGCTGCTGGAGGCCTCCAAGGGTCCTCCATGTTTGATTTGTTTCCCCGTAAGGGCTTCAACCACCGTTAAACACCCCCACGCTGGGGGGGTAGCAAACAGCCTGGACGTGGCAAGACGCAGGCTCCAGCAGTAAAAAGACAACAGCCGCGTTAAAGGTTCGAGCGGACCCCAGCCTCCACTTGAACTGCATCGGTGAGACGTAGGGCTCGGGTTCGGGGGACTCGGGCTGGCCTGACGGGGCCGTCATGACAATGACAATGATGAGACCCAGGTCGGCAATTTGACGCGAGCTCCACCTGCAGACATCCCACGGAAGCTGGACCGTCCAAACCTACGACGCGCTCGTCAGAGAGCGTCGGCAGACCCGAGCTGCGGCGCACTCGAGTCTCACGTGTCCCCGACTGTAACACTTTGCTTAGGTCGGGCATGTCCCCCTACAGGCGGATTTGACGAAAAATTGGAAATACCCAAAAAAATCAAAAACATATGCAAAACTAATCGAAAATCGCCCCCTGATTGTTTCACTATGTATGAATATTCCTCCTGTAGATGGACAGGCCCGACTTAAACCTGTGCGCTTGGGGCCCACGAAGCCGACGCGCGCGCACCTCAGAGCAGAGGAGGGGGAGAGGTCCGCACGCGAGAGGCCTGGTGGGATCCGCGACCAGGCCCACGCGCCCACATTTCCAGCTGGGGTTAGCTCGGGCATGTCCCCCTACAGGCGGATCTTGCACAGAAGACAAAAAATGCCCCAAACAAATTTCAACAATACTCGAAAACAGTCCAAGACTCGTCCCCAGACTGTTGTTCGACTCTTTAAAAATATATATATTCCTCCTGCAGAGGCACACGCCCGACTTAAAGCTGGGGTCCCACGGGCCGCGGGGGGAGGCTGGGAGGTCTCGGTGCTAGGGTGCTCCGGTGGCGGCGGGCCGCGGGGGCACTGCGGGGCAGCGGCCGCCTGGGGAGCGCAGGTCCCGGCGTGACTTGCAGTCCGCGAGGGGAGGGAGGAGGAGGAGAAGGAGGAGGAGCAGGAGGAGGAGGAGGAGGGGGAGGAGGAGGAGGATCAGGAGGAGGAGGAGGAAGAGGAGGACGAGGAGGAGGAGGAGGAGGAGAATCGAGTTCTCGGGCCGTTCGATACTGCACTGCCTCGAGAGGAGGAGGAGGAGGAGGAGGAGAAGGAGAAAGAGGAGGCATAGGCGGAAGAGGAGGAGGGAGGCAGGGAGGGAGGGAGGCAGGGAGAAGATGGAAGAAGGAAGAGGGAATAACAAAAATCAAGAGAGGCAGGACGAGGTGGGATGATGGGGAAGACGAGGAACAAGGAAGAGGGAATAAGGAAAGATAGGCAGGAGGAGGTGGGATGAGGAGGAGGAAGAGGAGGAGGAGGAGGAGGAGGAGGAGCACGAGGAGCAAGAGGAGCAGGAACAGCAGGAGGAGCAGGAAAAGCAGGAGAAGCAGGAGAAGCAGGAGGAGTCAGAGGAGAGGGGGGTGGAAGCGGGGCAGTCAGGATGAGGATGCGGGGGTGAGGGATGATATGACGTCGCCACACGCCAACGGCGGCTCGCTGATCACCGCCGGTGGTCCCTCGCCCGTCCCCGTAGTTGCCCCAACCGCCGCTCCCCTGCAATACATAGTAGAGAAGAGCTCGCGGCAGGGAGGAGGGACCCTCCAGGGGGCAGGGTAGCTGGGTCCCCCAGCCAAGCCTGGAGGGGTTTGGGAGAACGAGGAAACTGCGCCGACTGAGGAGTCGAGCAGGCCCTCCCCCTCCGCCTCCTCCTCCTCCGCCTCCTCCTCTTCCTCCGCCTCCGCCTCCTCCTCCTCCTCCTCCTCCTCCTCCTCCTCCTCCTCCTCCTCCTCCGCGCCTGCTCTTCCGCACCTGCGGGCTCAGCGGGGCAGGGGCGGGCGCAGTCCTTGTTCACGCGGCTGGGGCCGTGGGACGTGGCGCGGTTGGGCGCCTGGGCGGGGGGGGGGCGCTCGGGAATGCCAGGACGAGGAGGAGCTGCCCATAAGAACGAGGGGTGGGGAGCGTTTTGGAATGTTTGAGCCAAGCCCGAGGGATCGTGCTACACCGAACGACGCGTGCACACCCCTGAAAGAATGATGGGGGATGGGGGAGGAAGAGGAGGAGGAGGAGGAGGAGGAGGACAAGTGTGAACCCAAGAAGTAACAACGATGTTGCAGTAAACCGTCCCTCCAATTTCCCTCCTCATAGATCCCAACTAGAATGTATCATGGTTGCGGGAATCGGCCCATCAGAAGACAACCGTCTGAGAATCCACAATCGTGCCAGAACGCCGTTGCTGGAATTTAAACGCGGCGTATCAACATGACTGTTGCGTCATCACACTCCTAATCGCGCCAGAGCACCATTCTTGGAATTTCAGTACAACGAATAAACATGACTGTTGAAAACCACCTGCCCTCCATACGTGAAACTGTTTCAAATGCCAAGCTTCAGGATCATAGATGGTGGGACAGGGAAGAGTTATTTACGCAGCACCCCGCTGCTGCGGATAAGAGTGAGGGGGCGGGTGCGGGGTGGTTCGCGGGTGGGTTGGTTGCGGGTGGGTCGCGGGTTCGCAGTTGAGTCGCGGGTGGGTCGCGGGTGGATCGCGGGTGGATCGCGGGTGGGTCGCGGGTGGGTCGAGGGTGGGTCGCGGGTGTGTCGCGAGCGGGTCGCGGGTGGGTCGCAGGCCCGGTCGCGTGTGGGACGACGACAACAACACCAACACCAACAACAATAATTTCAAGACTGTTTGCTCCTACACGCTCGCATGCCATTCAATACGTATATCTCGAGACCTCGGTATCCGCCCTCTTCGTCTTACCCCTTGGGGGTATGTCTTCCCTACCTGCCTCGCGTAGTTGGCGCAGCTCCCAAAACAGGAAAAGGAAGGGAGGAGTGAAGCGACAAGGGGGAGGGAGAAGGATAGAGCACGAGAGAAACTTGCAGGAAGAGGGTTACGAGCAGGAGCACGAGCGGCAGAACCAGACGGGCATGCCGGGTGGGCGGGCCCTAACGGGCAGGTCCGGCGGGCGGGCCCAGGACGGCCAGGTCGAGCGGGCGGGTGGCTAAAGCGTCAACCCATCATGAAGGAAGTTTTGAGCGAGATCGCGACTCCGAAGTAAATCGCTAGGAGAGCGTGATTCCTGAATCTTGGGAGCACGGCGCCGCAATGAAATGCGAGGACACACCACTCGAGAGCGCGACGACTACAGAAAGTGTGAAAATGTCCGCGAGGAAGCGCGCTCTTGAAATAAATTGTGAGGAAATGTCAGGCGGGACCACGCGCGCAAGGGCGTTTGAATGATTCCAACACGCGCGCGCGGGAGGTACGTTCTGTCGCACTTTACGAAGATATCGAAAAACCGCTGTTCTTCTTAAGAATTCACAAGAGCGCGAGCGCAGGCTTTTTTGAAAATTCCTGTTGCGAAACCATCGGTTCCTTAAATGTTTTGGGGGCACTCGACTTTGAAAGCTCTACGAAACCTAAAATGTTTGAAAGAGTTCGGCATGAGCGCGCGACGACGCGCGCGTGCGCACGTTGCCCCAACTGTTGCATTAAGGGACTGGCTGGGATAATAAAAAATCATATTTGGGATGGACAAATGTGCAGAATCCTAAACGAAAAACAATACGAACGGGCGGCCCGTTGAGTCTGGGGGGGAGGTAGATCCGACTGTCTTTCAAGCAAATCTATGTTGTGCACTCTACGTGGTGCAATTTATGTTGTGCGGTCTCTGTGGTGCTATCTATGTGGTGCATTCCATGCGGCGCAATCTAGGCTGTGCAATCCATGTGATAAATTATACGCGGTGCCATGATCGTTGTGCAAGATACGTGGTGCAATCTAGGTGGTGCAATCTATGCCGCGCAATATACGCCGTGCAGTCTATGTGGTGCAATCTATGTGCTGGAATTGATGCGGTGCAACTGATGTTGTCCTATCTACGGCGGCAACGAGGTGGCGACGGGGCGGCGACGGCGACACCATAGCCGCCAGACGGCCACACCGGCCCAGACGACGGGCAGCGACGAGGCGGCGACGGGGCGGCGACGGCTACTACGGCTACTACTACTACTACTACTACTACTACTACTACTACTACGACTACTACTACTACTACTACTACTACTACTACTACTACTACTACTACTACTACTACTACTACTACTACTACTACTACTACTACTACTACTACTACTACTACTACTACTACTACTACTACTACTACGACTACTACTACTACTACTACTACTACTACTACTACTACTACTACTACTACTACTACTACTACTACTACTACTACTATAACAACGACTACTACTATACTACTACACTACTACTAACTACTACTACTACTACTAAACTAGTACACTACTACTTACTAGTACTAGTACCACTACTACTACACTACTACTACTACTACTACTACTACTACGACTGCTGCTGCTGCTGCTGCTGCTGCTACTACTACTACTACTACTACTACTACGACTTACTACTACTACTTACTACTACTACTACTACTACTACTACTACTACTACTACTACTACTACTACTACTACTACTACTACTACTACTACTACTACTTCTGCTGCTGCTGCTGCTGCTGCTACCACTACTACTACTCCACTACTACTACCACTACTCCTACCACTACTCCTACCACTACTACTACGACTACTACTATTACTACTACTACTACTACTTCACCATTACTACTACTACTATTACTACTACTACTACTATTACTACTAATACTACTACGCCTACTACGACTACGACTACGACTACGACGACTACTACTACTACTACTACTATTACTACTTCTACTACTACCACTACTACTACTACTACTACTACTACTACTACTACTACTACTACTACTACTACTACTACTACTACCACTACTACTACTTCTACGAGTACTAGTAGTAGTACTACTATTACTATTACTACTAATACTACTACTACTACTACTACTACTACTACTACTACTACTACTACTACTACTACTACTACTACTACTACTACCACTACTACTACTACTACCACGAGCACTGCCTCTACCAATCTGCCCGTCCCTATACTGTCAGATGCCACCTCAATCCCCCAGTTTCACATGGGGCCACCGGAAATCTCAGACCTCAAAGGGGACGGGGCCGATACAACTTACACCCCGTGCACACTCCGCGACGGCAACGCCTCGGGAATGCGGGCCCGAGATGAAGGGCGCACCCGGGAGATCGAACTGAAGATATTGGGTGGGTGGGTGGGCAACGAGCATCGCTCCCCCATGACCCGTCTCATCCGGGCAGAGACGACCATGCCTGCAGGCGCCCGACAGACGCCACTGACAGGCGAACATGTTCTGTAGATCCACTGGCAGCGCGGGGGCGCGACACCCCGACCAACGAACGCACTTAACGCGCCGATGGTTTCCTGCGCCAGATGCGGCCACTGAGCGGCCCAGATACTTAGGCCCTGAATGGCCTGTTGATCGCACGCAGGCTACGCGGGGGCGTGCCACCCCAGACAAGCAATGCCACGCTGAACGCGACTGCTGGCGATCTCACCGAGACCGGCCAATGAGCGGCCCATACTGTCCTGACCCCTGAAAGGCCAGACAGCCGCGCACTGGCATCGAGGGGTCGCGATACCCCGGCCAGCATTACGCACTGAACGCGAGTTCTGGCTGCCTGCGCCGAGGACGGCCGCTGAGCGGCCCCGCGCGAGCAGGTCATATGACGACGTTGGGCAGGTGCAGATATCCGAATTTCCGAAAGGCTTCGCCCTCCTCCATTTCGTGCCAATCTGCCCTTCCCTCAACTGTCCGATGCTATCTCAATCCTCCACCATAAAGGGGGCAACCTGAAATGTCAGACCTCAAACGGGACGGGGCCGGAATAATTTACACCCCCGAAGCGCCCCAATCGAGGCCATCATTCCCCTACCTATACGACCGCCCTGCGGGCGATAAGGACGTCGGGGCGGGATTGAAATCAAATGCCCACCCTGACTGACCTCCAGCCTGCCACCTGGATATCATATCTCTCTTGTTGGAAGAGATGGGTTGGATAATATAAGATGGATTGGATTGGCCCGCCGCAGGCGCAGAAACAAATGCATTCATGGATTGGGTTGGATTGATTGGATTAGGTGGGATAAAATAATGTGGGACAAGATGGTGTGGATAAGATAAGACGGGTTGGATTGGACAAGATGGATTGGATCAGATAACCTGGATTGGATCAGAAAGCCTGCCGCTGGCGCCGACAAAACAAAAATGACGGATTGGGTTGAGAGGATTGGATTGGATAGGATAAGCTGGATTGGATAAGACAAGATGGGTTGGATTGGAAGAAATGGACTGGATAAGAAAAGACGGATTGGATTGGCTTGCCGCAGGCGCAGACACAGATGAATTGATTGATTGGGTTGGGTGGATTGGATTGGGTGGGATAAGATAGGATGGGGCAGGATGGGTTGGATCAGATAAGATGGATTGGATTGGACAAGATTGATTGGATAAGAGAAGCTGGATTGAATCTGAAAGCCCGCCGCAAGCGCCCCCCCCCAAAAAAAAAGAAGAAAAAAAAAAAAAAAAAAAAAAAAAAAAAAAAAAAAAAAAAAAAAAAAAAAAAAAAAAAAAAAAAAAAAAAAAAAAAAAAAACGCTACGCGCGTTAGCGCCGGGGCGCCCGGGACACCCAGGACACCCGGAACACCGCCCGGCCCAATTGGGGCACCTCCCGGCCACCGGCGGACGGGAAACGGACTTTCGCTCCTACTGGCACACGGGACACCCGAGACACCGCCTGGCCCAACTGGGACACCTCCCAACCACTGGCGGACGGGAACGGACTTTCGCTCCTACTTCGGCCTAGCTACAGGAGGATCACGCGCAGCTTCGCCTCGCCCGCACGCACGACACGAACGCGAAACCGAAAC